ATATGCTGTGCAACGGAAGCCAAGGCCTGGATTGGATCTTCATGGAAGAAGAATTTCAAAGAAAGTTTTCAATTCATCCAGAAGAGGACAATCACCAATTAAATCAACAGAAAGTTCCAACAAGTCAGGTGTATGGATTCTTTGGTTGGTGTAAAGATGGAGCAGAAGCAAGAAGTCCAAATACTCATCGGAATTGCAAAGTTTCAGATATTCTCTCTCTCTCTCTCCATCCGTCGGCACTTAATCATTCACGGCGGTGCTGAGAGAAGGAGGGAGGGGGAGCTGATAGCTTTTTTAATAAATTTTATATATTTATTTAATTCTTTCTGCTATAGTTATAGTTAAATAACATTTAACAGGACAATGATCCAACTAAAATATGACTCGTGTACAACTTAAAACCAATTTAAATATTTTAAAATTAAAAAAATTATATATATATTAAATAAAAATAAGTTTTAATTTTTAATTAACTATAATTTATATATTATATCATGAGATACACATTTAGTTAGAAAATTTATTTACCAAAGTTCAGGTCACAGTCATCTTGTATGTCAAACTGTATATATATATATACACTCCAGAGACTGGATCGTTCTGATAAACTCCTTCAGATTTGCCAATACATGCCGAGGTCCTAAGCTTTTAACGCCAATGAAATTCAGGGAGTTGCTCCAAGTCCTGCAAACATAGGAAAGATTTTATGATTTTGCATCTCCACACGAGTCTCAGATTTAGGGAAATAAATTAGCAGCTATAGTTATCAACATCAAACATATTCGGCTAAGATTTTTTTATTTTTTTCACTTTTTATTTTTATTTTTATTTTTTACAAAAAGAACCAATAAATTCATCAAGGGAAATAAACCTCCCGGTACTTCTCCCAAGATATCTTCATTCTTCAACTTAAACAAGAACTACTACTTCCACAAGCTGGCCTCAAAAAAGCCCACCTTAAATTTTCATATACAAGGTACACTAGTGGCTCAGGTAGAAGCCTCCGTCAGTGACTTCAGTGCAGGATGAAATTCTCATACAAAGGGATAAACCCAACACTCCTCGCACCAATCTGAACCTTGTATCTTTATACATGGTTCTTTAATGAAACTAACCGAACAGCTAGAATAAGTAAACAATAAAGAACAATAGCGACAGAAAGATCATGAAAACACCCCCAGCCTCCTTTTTACACCAGAAGCAATTAGCATTTTCTTCACATACAGCATTTATCAATTCTGTCCTTCAACACATTTGGTTCAAAATTTTATGAGTGCATGTAAGATAGGGAGGTGGGTATGGTTGTCATGTATGATTGATTTCAAGTGTAAATGCAGGCTGAGAATAATGCAGAAGAGAGTAGATAAATACATGCATTACAATCAAGCATTAGCTTTTAATTAAAAGGGATGATCAAGATTGAATGATTTTGTATAAGTGCAGTTGTGAACAACTCATTTGTTAAATTTTGTGAATTGCATTATCTTAAATCACAAAATTTTTATATATCTCATATTAAATACATAACATTCCTAAAAATGATTTGGGTACTCCATCTTTAGTTTTAGAATGCACTACATCTAACCTCACATGATATATTCAAAGTTCTACTCCTAATCCCCTTACTAATAACTTTTTA